ATCTCTCTCTCAGAGACACCTACTCCCAGTCGGTTTCTTGGACATAGTACGTTACGATTTGGGCCGAATAAATCCTCTTGTACGCATAATCTCCTCTGGATGTTTGGGGCCACCTCTCTCAGGCTGTTGTCGAATGATTAATCAATCATTACGGACCCACTTTGATAACGCTCGATCCTAATCTCAATCTACCAGAATGCGCTTCATCACTGGGGGTATCAATATGCAGAGGATCAAATCGCTCGATGTTACTAAGTAACCATTCAATTCTGTTTTCAACTGCTTTCACGTATTCTAGCAGCTGCCAGCATCTCCCGTTGGTGATAATCATGACCTCTCTATTCGCATCGCCTTTTAACGATCACCTAGGCCAGTATACGCGTGGTCCCAGAACCTTCACCGCAAGTTCTCACTGACATGGAAACAGTGGGTCTCCCGGGCCTCTGGATCGGCTCAAGTCTTAGTATATAGTCACTTGTGTCGCAAGTATGGGAAGATTTCTCTCGAGCTCTGAAATGCTTTTCCTTTCAGTTTTTATCGTTCTCCCCGGTATCAAGGCGTAAATACTCTACACGACGCCTTTCTGGGTACGAAGAATCGCAGATCATGGTCCTCTATGCTAAGCTAACTTGAAACCATAGGATACCAATGTCACCTCCTCACATTCAGATCGTGTCAACGCTGCCGATGCTGCTCTCAGTCAGGTCATCAATAGGCTCGGCCCTTCTGGCCGGATGTACACTGGCCAAATTACACACACCACTTGTGATCGTCAGTGTGTATCGTCAGTCTGGTTCTCGAGACTAGTTGACGTGATAAATATCTGGGTCCAATAAGGTCCGATAAGCTGATTCTGTTCCGATTGTTTCGTTGATCACTCCTGCTTTTTTGCGTTCCATCATCCAACTCAACAGCCCATCCCTTCTTGCCATCAAGAAATCAAGCGATCCATTTCCTGATCCTTTACATGTATCACACACACTGTCTCTCTCTCCGAGACACCTACGCCCAGTCGGTTTTTTGGACAGAGATACGTGAGAATTTGGTGACTTCGTCCGAATAGAACCTTTTTTTCTGACAATATGCATGCTCTTCAAGTTCCCTACTTCTCAAGCTGCTGTCGGGTGATCAATCAATCACCACGGACCCACTTTGATATCACTCGAACCTAATGCGCTTCTCCCAGTATTCCATTTTACATGCCATAGATCCTGAAGTAGCTCTGTGTCCCACAAGACCTAGAACACTACTCGGATGACGATGACTGGGATATAAATATGCAGAGAATCAAATTTCGATCAAATCGCTCGATGTTGAGTAATTATTCAATTCTTTTTTCAACCGCTGACTGTTTGCAGGGTATCCCGTTGATTATAGCTGTGATATCTCTGTTCGAGTCGCACTCTGCCACTCGATCCTAATCTCAATCCACCAGAATGCGCTTCATGACTGGGGGTATCAATATGCAGAGGATCAAATCGCTCGATGTTACTAAGTAACCATCCAATTCTGTTTTCAACTGCTTTCACGTATTCTAGTAGCATCTACCGTTGGTGATAATCATGACCTCTTTGTTCGCATCGCCTTCTAACAATCACCTAGGCCAGTATACGTGTGGTCCCAGGACCTTCACCGCAAGTTCCACTGTTTGATGTTTTCACTGACATGGAAACAGTCTCCCGGGCCTCTCAATCAGCTCAAGTCTTAGTACTTATATAGTGACTTGTGTCGCGAGTAAGGGAAGATTTCTCTCGGCCTCTGAAATGCTTTTTCTTTCGATTTTTATGCTTTTCGTTATCGTTGTTCCCGGTATCAAGGCGCAAATACTCCACACGCCGCCTCTTTGGGTATGAGGAATCAAGAGTTGCGGCCCTCTATGCTAAGCTAACTTAGAGTAACAGGATACCAATGTCAACTATACACATGCAGATCGTTTCAACGCTGCCGGTGCTGCTCTCAGTCAGGTCGTCAAAAGGCTCGGCTCTTTTGGCCAAACTGGTGGTACGATTCTGATCTCGGCGATGCAGTAAACTAACCCATAAATCATGATAGATGCGAATGTTGCAAATTCACTACACTTCTACGAAGCTCTTGCCAACTACAACATAATAACACGCCAACGAAACCTAAGTGAGACGACCATGTCATACTGGCGTAACGATGTCCTGATTATGTGGAGCCTGTAAGTCATATATCGAAATTGAATGGATCCGAGACTCAAATTAATCCTAGTGACGATGACGCATTTAGTGGTTATCTTCGCGAAGTCACGTATGGCCTTCCTCTTAAGGTTTCATCGCACTGACGAACGAACATCAATGAATGAACAGTCAAATGGGATACACTGCGATACGTGCATACCTTTCCCTTGGAGAGAGTTATTTCCTGGATCGTGCCAAAGAGTATTGGGAAATCGCGAACCTTTATACCATTACTGATAGCGACCTTCAATCGGGGCGGAGTCCCGTAAAAAATTTCTCTCTACCTCGAACTTCTTGTGCTGGAGATTACTCACTTGACGGTGCCGTGTTTCAAGTGCGTTGAGCCTTTCTAAGAGAGAGATCGAATTAATGGGATCAATGTAGAATGGTTCACGACAAAGCTCAGTTATAGACATCTATGAAACTGCGTGGGTAGCTTCTCCTTTGAATAATATACCAATATCGTTCTCATTCGCATTTTATAGATACTTTTTCCTGTGGGTTGATGCCATGGCAAACTCAGGTTTTGTCGCGATTAACATGTTACATGGTACTAGATTCTCCTCGATCCTGGCTAGCTCGGAAACACCCCCGAATAGCACTTACGTGTCGGCGGCACGGACATCCTTAGACTTTGTCATGAAACTGGCTTCTGTCTATAAAGCTCCTTTAATAAGAACGATTAGTCGCGAGGTGATGTGCGGAAATATCTCTATTGTTTGGCCGGATGGTACCTCAATCGCTGGGTTTCTGATTGAAGGGCTAGCGGTGCTAGAAGATGACGAAGATCTACACGAACTGTAAGTTCGATTTCCCATGTGTTGGCGCACCCGACCCATTATCGATGATTAGATTGCAGGAAACTAGTCAGGAATCCTTTAATCTCACTGGGTGGCCAAATCCGAGAGGGATCTTATCAAACTACCATAATCGGACTGGATCATCTATCATGCCCGAGATGCTGCCAGATGTGGTGGCGTGGGATATCGAGTTTGTCAGAGGATTGGCTGTTGCGTACAGGAATGCCACCTCTTTACCACCGGACGTTCGTGACGCAATCAAAGCCTTTCTCGGCGTGCAGGTCTGTAAGATGCACGTCTCACATAGATATTCGTTTTGACGTTTGTTTACAGTACAATGCCGTCCGTAATCTGGCTCACATAGGTAATAACCTATACGATGGTTCTTGGCAAGATCCTTCGTTCCGCACATATTCCCCCTCCTTTGACATCGTAAATCAGTCCTTTGCGGCACAAGTTCTGATCGATGGAATCGACATATTCGATGAACCGCCACAACCTCCTTCCTCTTCATCACGGGTACCTGTCGCAACTCTCGCTGGTAGCATAGCTGGAGGCGTTCTATTCCTAGCCATTTTGATCGCTCTCGCCGCCTTCTTCTACCGCCGTCGCCAACTTTCAGCTACAGCCGACAATAACACGAGCCATCCCCCATCTCTCTTCTTCTCTTCTTCTGCCATCTTTGTCGACCACAACATCGAAGTCACTCCATTCGAGTGGGATCCAGAATGGTACCGTGAACGACCTATTCAGACCACGAAAAAACGGGCATTGTCAGTAGACCAGAACCCGAACAGGGAGCCTGTACCTGATCAGGGTGCTTCTCTAGGCGAGCCACTCGTGGTCAGCACTCCGCCTGTTGATGATGATAGCGACAGTCCACCAGAGTACCGAAGCCAATAAACGATCCAGACTCGACTTGTACTATAATGTAACCATTTACTTCTTGTTATGAATGTCCGCGCACGAGTTTTATGATCGTATTCTGTAGCCTATTTTTGATATCGATAATCTTACCAACGGTTATGGCGAAGAAAGTTCCCAAATCTGAAATCAGCGAGCTGCGCCACATGCACCAGTACACGGAATCGCATCGGGGACATTGTACAGTCTATCTATCATTTCTTAGTCCGTCGCACTGCATTCATTAGCGTGTTCAAGTTTTGAGGCTCTAATCGCGTACATCACTCATCCAAGTCGAACGTTGAACCCGTTCACGGGAGGTGCCGACTAGCATTCCGGTTCGTATGTGACTGATTTAAAAATTTTGACGTTGTTCACAACACCCCAGTACTTCCAAAAATTTATCGGAAAATCCTTAACGATTGAAAGCGCATATACCAATTTTTCTGGCTTTCCCAGCAAGGAAATCCAGTTGCCAGAAAGATGCCGGGGTGTGAACAGACGTTGTGCGCCCGATAAGCGCCCATTTCAAACCACTATCTGGGTCTTTAAGCTTTAACTTGGCTTTAACGCCAAAGGATTGAAATAGATATTCCTTCATTGTTCCCCGACCGATAAGGAAGGTAGTGCATATACTCGAGCGGTGGCAAAACGATATCTTGGGGATTCGCAGGTTCCCAAATTACTGTGAATTCCCCAGCGACTCGGACACTGTTGATATCGACATCGGCAACGCTTCCAATGTTAACGTTTGACTGTTTTGCAACTCGGCAAAATGCCCCGCGCCGAGTTCGCACTTCCCGGGAGCTGATATGTCACTCCGCCGTTGTCACTTTATCCTCCTAGCTGCGGGTGAAAGATCTCCCAGTGTCTTCTGTATCCTGGATATAGATACAGTCACAAACGGTTGTAGCGGCCAAACCTGCAGTGAAACCACCGAGGCTGTGGCGCCACATAAGTACACGGAATCGTATCGACTCGAAGGACATCCTACAGAAAGTTATCAACGACGCCTCGAGGTTTGGAACTACTTCAAATATTCACTGCGAGACTTAGGTACGCGCAGGAATAAAATACGAAGGGCGAGCTTTAGTACGGGCCTGACTGGGAATTGAACCCAGGACCTCTCGCAGACATCCCTTTGTCTTCTACCCAAAGCGAGAATCATACTACTAGACCATCAGGCCGCTGCTCCGTTTTCGGACAAAGCTGTTGTTGGGGTAGTAGCGTCTAGATTGACAAGACAACGAGCTCGAGGGATGAGCATAATATCATGATGTGTTAGAACGATGCTGTTGAAAGCCAACCTGAGGAAGCCAGGTCAAGCTCAACGTCAAGCTCAACAACCGTTCAAAGACACGCTTGAAGACTAGTTTGACATACTTTGAGCAACGTTGTAGATATCTCAGCTTGTGATTGGGGGCTCCGAGTCGAGGCATGTTCCCAACCATGCGTTGGAACGACGCCCGAGCCCAAGCCCGAGTCTGTTGAAAGTCAACCTTTCAAATCAATTCTCTTCACCCCATCACATCACCACCACAACTTGGAACGTACAACTTGAATGTATTCCAAAACAGCATACGCAAAACAGAAACAGACAGGGTATCCAAAACAACCAAAAGAACGCAAAAAAAGGAACGTAAGTAACGAACGAATCATACGCTAGAGTAATCACTAAAATGAATGTACTGTTCCCATCTTCCCCTTACCCCAACCCCAACCTAAACCCCTTACACACCCCAACCCCAAACCCAAAACGCACAGAAGAAAGAAACCCTAAAACACATCCTCACCATACGGACATTCCTTCGCCGTATGTCCGTGTCCTTCACAGTCTTCGCACCATACGTCCAACTCCTCCTCTTTTCCTGTCCCCTTACCCCCAACACTAACCCCGACACCCCCGCCGTTAATCGCCCTATGCGCAGAACTCGTCATACTCTTCGCACTCAACGGTCCATCCTCTTTCAACAAATCACACGTGAAGATGTCGTGGCCTGGGCGGTCGCAGATTTCGCATACCACCTCTCCATTCCCTGCACCCCCTACTCCTGCCCCATTTCCTGAAGTGATAATCGGCGCGGGAATCGACGCAGAGGTGGTGGAAGAAGAAAGATCGGGGCCTTTAGAGGCTTTTTTCGACGCCTTGGCCTTGAGCCTCTCAATCTCCTGTTCGAGTTCGTCTTCGCGGTAGATTTTAGCTTCGACTAGGGCTTCGAGTTCGCTTATTTCTTTATTCAACTGTCCGGTTTCTTTTTGTTAGCCCGAACCCAAAACACAAGAAAGAGAAGGGACGCACGTCGTGTACACTCCTCGCATGTTTCATCTCCATATCAGCTATTTTCTTTCGTAGGGTCTCGATCTCTTTCTGTGTGTTTTTCGCCGCGTTAACCCAAAACCAAGAAGGAAAGGAAGGAAAGGGAGAAGGAAGACGTACATCAGCTCTCAACCGACCCTCTTTCAACGCCTTAACACCTTCTCCCTCGTTTGTATCAGAGGAAAGAGCGATGTTCTCCTCTTCCCGGAGTATGCTTTGGTCGAGGTTATCTTCGAGGATTTTTATTTCCTGTTTCGGCGCGTTAGCGTCGCTTCATTTGCGTTTCGTTAGAGTTTGGGTTTGAGGTAAAGGTAAAGGTAAAGGGTATAGGAGAAAGAAAGAAAGAAACGCACCGCACGCAACCCCTCCATCTCACTAATCAACAACATATTCTCCGCTTCCAACACCTTATTCCTCTGTCCGTCCGCCGAAGAGGTCTTTTGGAGGTCTTGAATTATGTGTCTACGCGTCAGCGTCAGCCTTCCTCCTTATACCGCCAGAGGAACACAAACACGGAAAGAGAAGAAGGGAACGGGACGCACTTCAAACCCATAATCTCCTCCCTAGCGCTCGCCAACTCCGTCTTATCATACTTCTGTTTCTCGGGCGAGGAAGGTGAGAGAGGTGTATCGCGGTTAGCCTTTTTGCGCAGCGCGTCCAGCTCAGAAGCTTGAGTTGCGACGAGGGCGTTCAGCTGCGTGCCGCGTTAGCGTGAGCATGAGTTTACACTTAAGAATCAAAAAGGAAGAACGAGAAGAAGGGAAAGGAACAAGGAAAAAGAACGAAAGACACACACCCTATCAACCTCCTCCCCCAACTCAACCCCCCTCATCTGTACCTCCGTCAACTTATTCTGCAACTCCCCACTCGTCGAGCTCGCTAACCCATTCGCGTTAACCACCTCCCCTCTTAACACCTCAACCTCCGCTCTAGCTTCTTCCAACGCGCCTTGACACTCCCTTAACGCTTCCTCAACCTCCTCTACCCTTCTACTCTTCTCGGCGACTTCGCGTTCCTTCTCCCGAACTCGGGAGGTGGAATCAGATAGCTGGCGTTGGAGGACTTCGTGCGTTTCTTTGGCTTTGGTGAGACGCGTAGTGAGAGCGCCGACGTCAGCTTGGTGTGAGGCACGGGAATCGTCTAACGAGTCTTCGAGAGAGGAGATCTTGGCTTGGAGATGTGCGAGTTGGAGATGAAGCGTCTCTGCTTCGATTTCTTCCGTCGTCTGTTCTTTATCCTTAGGCAGGCGTAGAGATGAGAACGGTGACGGCGAAGTCGGCGTCAACGGTTCCCTGATAGCGGAAGGGGTAGTCGGTAGGTTGGTAGAGGCGTTGAGTGCGTTGGGGCGTGAAGAGGCAGAGGAAAGTTGGTCTTCCAACTCGTATCGGAGAAGGTCGGCTTGTCGGAGTTTTTCTTCGTATAGGGCGATTGTTTCCTGTGCGTGGGCGTTAGCACCCATTACCCAACTCAAAACACAAGAGAACGCGTACCTGCCCAGCAACCCTCAACTCATCCACCTGTTCCCTTAAATCCCTTCTCTCATCCTCGAATTCTACGACGAGTTTGCGGAGTTTATCTTCAACGGCTTCTTTAGCTGCCTTCTCTTTCTCCAGTTCGCCCTGGAGCTCGGGTACGCGTGCGAGTTGGGTTGTGAGGTCGGCGATTTGGGATTCTAGGGTAGTTATTTGGTTGGTTAACGAGGTGATTTCGGAGGTGAGAGTCTCGTTTGTAGAGGTGGTTGATTGGAGTGTGGTTTGCAGAGTGGTGTAGGCGGTGTCTAGTTCGGTTTTACGTTCTTCCAGTCTCTTAAACTCAAACCTCAATTTCTCCGCTTCCTTCTGCAGAGTCTCCTCGTTCGCTTTCGCTTTCACCAGCTCCTGCTCCACCTCCAACTGCTTCTTCTCTGCTTCTTCATCCTTCTCCGTATCTGGTGCCGGTGTAGGTGTCACCGGAGGCGCAACAGCCAACTGAACCCTCAACCTCTCATTCTCATACTCCAGCGCCTCAATCCTACTCTGCGCAACCGCAATATCCGGGTCTACGGACATCCTCCCGTTGGCTGTTCGACTGGCGACACTTCCAGGTCTAGACGTCGACCCGCCACCTCCGAACACCCCGCCGCCACTCCTCGAAGGCGCACGACGCGGTGAGGCGGTTTGAGTTCGTGAGGTGATGGTCGCTCGGCGGATCGGCGAGCTTGGGGGCGAGATAGCGCTTCCCGTGGAGGAGAGCCCAGCGATACGCTCTTGTAGGGCTTTACTCCGTGCGTCCAATTCGTCTTTACTCAACGGTGAGTCGGGTGCACTAGCCGTACTCGTTGTGCTGGAAGTGGATGCGGAACGTGAGATAGGTAGAGGTGGGGGTGGCATGGCTATTGCGCTTGGTATACGCTGAGTTTGGGATTGGGATTTACTGGTTGGAGTGGTTGCTGGTGATGCGCCGAGACCTATACCACCGAATCGGTTGGCGGTGGGTGGTTTGGGTGTGTTGTTTGTAGAAGTGGTGGAGATGGTTCTGAGACGTGATGTCGGGCTTGGTATCGAGGTGGTTGCTGACGTGGGACTGGGTATCGATGATGAGGAAGGGGATGATGTGGATTTAGCTAGGGATAGTTGGGCTGCTGTCATTCCTGCGTATTTCGCTGCCCGTGTCCCAGTCCCAGTGTTTGCCTTGGGTGTTTTACCAGCGTTGACACCCATCTTGCGTAACCTAGCCGCACGTATCGCAGGTGTTTCTGGTGAATACCCGCCTGTGGAGGTAGATGGTGTGATTCGACCTGTCGAAGGGGTTGTTCGGCCAGAACCATAGCTCATTCTGGATGTAGACGTGGAAGATGAGAATGAAGGTGTAGTTCGACCACCAAACGATGACGGCGGCCTTCCATTGCCCAAAGACGAAGGCGGACGACCAGTTGCTCGTGAAGGTGCACGACCGGCGGTAGCTGCGCTGAGTTTGGTCGTAGCGACGAATACACCACATTTCTCGGGACATTCGAAATATCGCTTTCCGCCTACACTTCCATCGTTTTTACCCTTTCCGGCGAAACCACCTGAAAGCTCGACACCTGCCCAGAGACCTTGTTTACCGTCGATAGGACCGATGTAGCGGAGTGTGCCTTCGAAACCGAGGGATTCGATGCGGACGGGGGTGTTAAGTTCTGGTGTGAATGGGCCGGTGGTGGTTGAGGAGGTGGAGGAACGTGAAGGTGGACGGGCGTGTGTGGGTGTTTTGGAACGTTGGGGTTGGGAGACTGAACGAGACATGGAGATGTGGGATGCTGGATCGTTGGATTTGATAGCGTCTTTAAAAGCTGAATTTATATAATCAGTGTCCATTGCTGAAGATGAAGGAACCATTCCAATTTGGGATGCACTGCGAGATCTGCTGCCAGGAGTGACATTGCGTCCAGGGGTAGGGATAGCGGATTGTCGTGGTTTCATGTTGCAAAAGCAGAGACGCTGTCAAATTTGGTTCCTTCTTTCAACGCGTTGTGTCATGTGATTTGTGTTCAAAACACGAAAAAATGATGTGTCATCTACTTTGACCGGGCCTAACTGGGAATTGAACCCAGGACCTCTCGCAGGGGAATTCCGCAGGAGCACCCAAAGCGAGAATCATACGACTAGACCATTAGGCCGATACAAGTCCACACTCTTTTGGGAACCATGACGTGTCATCCAGTACATCCCACCTTCTATCGGCCTGATGGTCTAGTAGTATGATTCTCGCTTTGGGTCCTGCCTTATCTACCCCAGCTGCGAGAGGTCCTGGGTTCAATTCCCAGTCAGGCCCTTCCACCAGGCTTTTCACGCATTTTTACTTACATCCCAACTTTCCTCCTCGTCTCATGTCCATACACAAACCACCAATCCTCACAGGCGAGATGGCCGAGCGGTCTAAGGCGCCAGACTAAGGATCAGGACGCTCTACGTCCCTTGTAATCTGGTCCGAAAGGGCGTGGGTTCGAATCCCACTCTCGTCATTTAGAAATACTCGAGAATCGTTTTTTTTCTCCCTGTAGAGACAAATTATACCAACTGCGTCTCGGTCTACACTTTCCTTTTTTCATTCTTTTTCCTGTGACCAATATAACTCACCAGCCTGGATTCCCTGTTCCGAAGCATTAACAATAATCTATAACTGATAGTTTTATGAATTCCGATTGTTAATTACTGTAAAACTTGCGAGTACACCTTGCTCGTGCTCGTCTGCAATGTGAACGTGAGGTCCAAAATTCCAACTCAACAGGACATGCAATGATCGTAACTCATATTAAGCAAGTGATGGCGTGTACTAGAGGCAGCAGTTGCAACAAGCCTCAGAAACTTACTGTGACTGCCAACTTACATCAATGACAGCGGCGACGGAGCGACCTCTGCCGAACATCAAAACAGTGACCTTCAATAAGCTTTTACATTGAATTGCACCCCGGGATTTTTCTTTGAAGCGACTTGGGCTCGTCATTGTTGATGGTAGTGTCGCTCTTGCCGCCACCTCAGTATTCCTTGTCGGCCGGGGAACAATGAAAGGTTAGTGTTTTACGGTAACGCCCGCAAGTGGATGTCTTCACCAAAAAAATCAGAAATCAGAAATTGCTTCCAAGCGGTAGACGCATTTCTGGAGATACTGGAGCGCTTGCATGCTAGTCGGCACCTCCCAGGTTTGACTTGGATGAGTGATGCATGGAATTAGAGCTCCAAAACATGCAGCGTGACGGACTAAGGACTGTAGAATATCCCAGATGCGATTCCTAGGGCTCGTTACCGCGTATATACGGGTCCGTACCCGTACCGTGGCCACCAACGATTGGAAAAGTACGGTACGGTCTACGGTTCGGTCGTAAACCGTATCAGCCGCTGGGTGGGCGCCTAACGATGCCTCTTCCAGATCGTGAAAATCGTACCATTTCACATCGTTCCCCCACAATTTTACGACCAGACGACAGCTCTATTTCAGGTGTCAGTGCTCGTGAATACCCTTTGGTGACAGCTTACGCTCACTGCTCGGGGGGCACTGGCAGGGGGTTTTGGAAACCAAGAAAATAATAGACCTGCGAATTCAAATGGTGAGTGTTGCCTTTTCTCGAGGCATAGTAAATATCAGACATGTATCCTTCAAGCTGGGATTCATTTTGTGGCTACAAGAAATAGAAGCATCACATGTACATCTTTCAGTTGAAGGTATCGTGATTCGTGCGCCAATCCTGAACCAACTCCTCCAGCACCTGCCGTCGCCTAATACGCAAATTATTCAGGTGTGTTGCTCTGAGGAGATACTTGGATACAAGGGGTGTTCGGTAATATTGGCAACTGGTCGAGAGGGGTCGTGCGAACTTATGGCGGCAGGCTAGCAGCAACAATTACGCGCGGCCTCGGCTTCACTCGATCATAATCATCAAACTGTGTTCTACTCTTTTTGCTAGGGCATTGTAGTCCTGCCGAGTGATTAAAGGTAAGTATTCTCCTTCGGGCCTCTTCTGTTCTCAGTTTCAGTCAGACTCACAGAGTCACGGGCCCTTCACTGCCGGGTCCGCCTTAAACACTTCAGTATCATTACTGGCATATCAGATTTCAATTAACAAGAACAAGAACATGGTTTTCTAGGTATTTCTGCGACGCTCCGTGAAATGAAGGAGTTGTTCATTGACGTAGATTGAGAGATGAACTGCGAGGCGCGGAGGTTTAGTATCATCAGGTTGGAGATCTCGATGAAGAGTGGGAAGGTGCGCGATTGCCGTGGATTTCCAAATTGTGCTGCTAAATTAGAATGTTTATGCGATAGAGGTTCCTCGAGTCTATCATGATGTGGACAAGATCAGTAGGGATGTGAATCGATTCACGCAATTAATGTTCAATTTTCCGGACTTCCAACGACGAGTCATCCGAAGCGGAGACATGAAGTAGGTGACCTTGAGGTGACCACTGACATGCTTGAAATCCTGGCAATGAGCTCCGATGGTGAGTAATGGAATTCCTTTCAGTAATTTCCTGGGTGGGATACTGTGAGTTGTTGCTGAATGAAATCGAAGGTTCACCGATCTGACACGCCCACTGCTCTTTGACATGTGAATGGGCGTATAACAATGCCGCCTCCTCGGGTTGCACATATGATACTACCGCCACCTAAATATATGCCCTTTTCAAGTTCAAAAATACTTCGGCTTGCTTCTACCACTCTGAATTCTCCAAATGCGTTACCTTAAGATTGAGACATTCAATCCGCCCAAGTTACATTGAGCCCATAACGCGGCTCCGTTACCAATAGTGAATTGTTATAAGACTCTCCGAGTCACGGCCATAGAATTCCTAGCCGTCGTTTCGGAGGCATACTAGGATGAGAAGAGGGACAATACGCTATCGACACACTAGGGAACTAGTACTAGTTATGCCTTCTCTGTGCCGATTCTGATATCCGAGAACGCCGATGAGGTGCCGCCAGTGTAGATTCGCACGATCCCTCTCAACCAGTTGATATTATTGAATACCCCGGTGAACACCCCTTGGGTGGGCCCATACAGTATACGACCCGTATTTTCTACGACCGTACCCGTAGGGGTACGGTGACGAGCCCTCCATGTACCGTCCATGTGGCGCCCGATAGTTGGGAAGATTGTCAATATATAGAACAGAATATCACTGATCATAAAACTCACGCGTGGGTAATCATAACAAAAACTAAAAGGTTACATACATTATAGTACAAGTCCAGTCTGTATCATGATTTAACGTTTATTGGCTTCGATACTCTGGCGGACTGTCGCTGTTATCATCAATAGGTGGAGTGCTGACCACAGGTTGCTCGCCTGGAGCAGGCACAGGCTCCCTGTTCAGATTCTGGTCTACCGATAATGGCTGTTTTTTCGTGTTCTGAATAGGTCGGTCATGGTACCATTCTGGATCCCACTCGAATGGCGTGACTTCGATGTTGGGTCCAACAAAGATGGCAGAAGAAGAGAAGAAGAAAGACGGAAAATAGTTCATGTGACTGTCAGCTGCAGCTGATTGACGACGGCGGTAGAAGAAGAAGGCGAGAGCGATCAAAATGGCTAGGAACAGAACGCCCCCAACAATGCTCCCGACAAGGGTTGCAACAGGTACCCGTGATGAAGAGGAAGGAGGTGGTGTCGGTTCATCGAATATGTCGATTCCATCGATGAGAACTTGTGCCGCAAAAGATTGATTTACGACGTCAAAGGATGGGGAATACGTCCGCAACAAAGGATCTTGCCAAGATCCATCGTATAGATTATCACCTACGTGAGCCTGATTACGAACGGCGTTGTACTTTCAAAAAATGTCAGAACGAACATATTGTGAAAGGTATATCTTACAGACCTGTACGCCAAGAAAGGCTTTGATTGCGTCACGAACGTCTGATGGTAAGGAGGTGGCGTTCCTATACGCAACAGCCAATCCTCTGACAAAGTCGATATCCCACGCCATCATATCTGGGAACAGCTCGGGCATTCTAGATGGCCCGGGTATTGTCCAATTATGGTAGTTTGATAAGATCCCTGTCGGACTTGGCCATCCAGTGATATTAAAGGATTGCTGAATAGTTTCCAGCAATCTAATCATCGATGATGAGTTGAGTGCGCCAAGACATGGCAAATCGGACTTACAGTTTGTGTAGATCTTTGTCATCTTCTAGCACCGCTAGAATCGAAAGCCCTTCAATCACAAACCCAGCGACTGAGGTACCACCTGGCGAGATAATAGTGATATTTTCACAATCCATGCTTCCAAATGCGCTGTCTACAAACTTGTATAAAACAAGGCCAAGAGGCTGTTTCACGACAAAGTGTAGGGATGCCCGTGCCGCCGACACGTAACTGCTATTCGCAGGTGTTTCCGAGCTAGCCAGGATCGAGGAGAATCTGGTAACATGTTAATCGCGACAAGGCCTGAGTTTGCCATGGCCAGGCATCGACTCACAGGAAAAAGTATCTGTCAAGTGCTAATGAGAACGATATTGGTATATTTCTCAGCAAAAGAGGAGCTACTCACGCAGTGTCATAGATATCTATAACTGAGCTTTGACGTAAACCATTCTACATTGATTTCATTAGTTCGATCCCTCTCTGAGAAAGGTTCAACGCACTTGAAAGACGGCACCGCCAAGTGAATAATTTTCACTCTCTGTTCCGCAAGTTTGAGGTAGAGAGATATTTTTTATAGAATTCCGCTCCGATTGAAGGTCGCTATCAGTAATGGTATAATGGTTCGCAGTTTCCCAATACTCTTTGGCACGATCCAGGAAATAATCCTCCCCAAGAGAAAGGTATGCACGTATAGCAGTGTATCCCTTTTGACTGTTCGGTCATTTGTCAGCGCAATGAAACCTTAGGAAGAAGGCCATACATGATCTCGCGAAGACAACCATTAAGTGTGTCATCGGGGCTAGGATGAATTTGAGTCTCAGAGGCATTCAATTTCGATATATGACTTACCCGTTCCACACGATCAGGATTTCCGAACGCCAGTATGACATAGTCGTCTCACTCAGGTTTCGTTGATGTGTTATTATATTGTAGTTGGCAAGAGCCTCGTAGAAGTGTAGTGAATTTGCAACATTCGCATCTATCATGATTTATGGGTTAGTTTACTGCATCGCCGAGATCGAGAGAATCGTACCACCAGTTTGGCCAAAAGATCCGAGCCTTTTGACGACCTGACTGAGAGCAGCACCGGCAGCGTTGAAACGATCTGCATGTGTATAGTTGACATTGGTATCCTGTTACTCTAAGTTAGCTTAGCATAGAGGACTGCAACTTGTGATTCCTCATACCCAGAGAGGCGTCGTGTGAAGTATTTGCGCCTTGATACCGGAAATAATGATGGCGGAAAGCACAAAGACTGAAAGGAAGAGCATTTCAGAGGGCGAGAGAAATCTTTCCTTGCTCGCGACACGAGTGACTATATACTTGATCTGATTGAGGAGAGACCCACTGTTTTCCATGATGGTGAGAACATCAAGATTCAA